AGCGTGTGTCCGCCCGTGTGGGTGGGGGCCTGAATTAACTGGGTCAAGTCCAAGGCCGTCATGGAAGCCAAGAACTCCTGGGCTGCCGCCGACGTCTCACCCACTGATGGCAGGTTGAAATCCCCCAAGACCATAAGTCTGGGGGTCCCCACCGCCACCCCGGCTATCACGTCAGCCAGCTCAGGCAGGGCTGTTGATATCAGGGGATCCTGTTTTTTTGATTAAGTGCTAATTTCTATAGACCAGCCTCTCCTTAGATCAGTTATCAGTTGTTAGTGTTCAATCAGGTTTATGTAACAACGGGTAGTCCTCACTTATCGAAAACTCATTCAGTGACTGAACTTATGATGAAAATAGAGATTTACTGTATAGTTCACATGGTCCCAATTTAGGCACTTGGCAACCACTCTACATTTATGATGGTTGCTGTATCTCTGGGTCATGTGATCACCATTTGTGACCTTCAGAGCAGGCTTCACCAAGCAAAATCAATGGGGAAGTCTGCAGGAAGTTGCAAATTGTGGTCATGTGATATAACACTTAATGACCGCAACCTGAACCGAGGTAGTTAGTGCAGTCACTTGACATCACATTTAATGACCACACTGCTTAGCAACAGAGTTGACAGTCCCTATTGGTAAAACTGCCTGCATTTTTAGATCCAATTATTTTAATTTTAGTTTATTTACTGTAGGTGGCTTAATTTATATTATACCATGATGATCATTTGTTAAATGTTCTGAGTCCTTGACAGATTCAGCGATATAAAAATATAAGTAAATAAAGTGGAAGATATTATCTCTCTCGTGCATCAGCATTCTCTCCTCTTGGCTTTTCAGCATCAGCACAGAATTTCTGGCTCTCATGAAAAAGGTATCAAAATCTCCCTTGGTGATGGATGTTCTGAATATTCAGGGGGTACAGAGATCCCTGGAAAGATTAGCAGATTTGCTTGGAAAGATCCAAAAAGCTTTGGGAGAATATCTGGAGAGAGAGAGAGCTTCTTTCCCTCGGTAAGCAATTTAGTTTAGAATTAATTGTCCATCTACATAAGTGTAAATGACTTCTAAATTCAGTAAGCAACAGTTTAAGTTTTTCTTTTTCTTTGATTGATCAATTTGCAAAGAAAAATCACAGATGGCTTCATTGTTCTGATGTGGGGATTTATTGAAATACTGAACTTTATTTTTTAGGTTCTATTTTGTTGGGGATGAAGATTTGCTTGAAATCATTGGAAACAGCAAAAATGTAGCCAAACTGCAGAAACATTTCAAGAAGATGTTTGCTGGTGTGTCGAGCATTATCCTCAATGAAGACAGCTCTGTTGTTCTGGGAATATCATCACGTGAGGGAGAAGAGGTATAAATGTGTTTTCTGGATCTGGTGGCATAAAACATTTTTCTCTTAAAAACAATAACAAACTTAACAATTCTGTTTCCAGGTGATATTCAAAACTCCTGTGTCAATCACTGAGCATCCCAAGATCAATGAGTGGCTTACACTTGTGGAAAAAGAAATGAGGGTAACACTTGCCAAACTCCTTGCCGAGTCTGAAACAGAAATTGAGATCTTTGGCAAAGCAACTTCAATTGATCCAGCTACCTACATCTCATGGATTGACAAATATCAGGTATTGTTTTTTTATTCTGTTTTCAGCATTATAATAAGATAAAATGCTTTGAGAGAAAGGAAGCCAAAATATCCGATAACACTTAATTTTATTTTATTTTTTAAAAAAAATTCTCTAGGCCCAGCTTGTTGTCCTTTCAGCTCAGATTGCCTGGTCAGAAAATGTGGAGTCTGCTTTGAACAGCATAGGCGGAGGTGGTGATAGTACACCTCTGCAATCTGTGCTAACCAATGTCGAAGCAACGCTGAATGTGCTTGCAGATTCTGTATTGATGGAGCAGCCTCCTCTCCGCAGAAGAAAAC